GAAAAATAATTTATCGTCATCATCATCACTTGATGACGTCATCAATTTAAGTGTTTTTAAAACTTGATTTTTGACAAAATAACAACTTTTAAAATCGATTTTAAAGCATTAAGGAGTAATTTTATTCAAAATCTGAGGACATTTTCACCTTAGATAATTGTTCAAGCATTCTGAAAATCTACCGGAAAGTTTTCCTACCTTGCTCCTTCATAAAGATATTCGCTATTGAAGTTTGTGCTTTTTTGAAGAATAATTTTATAAAAACACAAAAGTTGTGAATTAGTATTCTCTGGTGTTGGGCCATCCCTTGGGTTGTGGAGCTCAATTTTGCTTCCTAAAGGTCTAAATTGTGTTATAGGCTAGTTTTAAAGTTGAAAATCGAAAAGTTGCACACGTGGGGACACGCCCAAATTCATTTAAAATAGCTAAAATCACTAAAAATTGTTATTTTCACGATTTTTACCAACTTTGGAGTCCCGTTGTGATCCAAGTTCTTTTTGAAATCTTCTGAAACTTTTCATGCTTATCAAACTATATATTAAATAACACTATGCAAAAATTTATGGTGATTCAATATTTTATGCGCACGCAACGTCCGCTCAAAGTTTGCACGTGCGAAAGGTGAGAATTTTGCTCATTCGTGATTTCGAATATATTCTGCTTTCCCACGATATTAAAATGGCATTATACATGAATTTAATGCCAACTTGAATGAGTAAAAAGTGCTATATTCAGTCTGTTATTGACAGATATGCCTACCTAAACACAAGGAAACGTTTTCAAAGGTAAAATTTCGAAATCGTTGAAATTACCTCCTTATTAAGTTTCGACTGTGTAAATTATCCTGACATTATAGTCAAAAAGAGATGATATTTGACCAAAACCCATAATCATGGGTAGAGTGAACCGCTGCCAGTGTCTCTCTTTTCCAAACAAAAGAAAATGATATTAATTTGAGGAACCGTCCGCAAATGCAAATTGATACCGAGAATGAAATCGGTCGCTCGCTTTTCCCATTCATTCACGGCTTACGTATTGTAATAAAGCTTATTGAATGGGAAAAGCGAGCGACCGATTTCATTCTCGGTATCAATTTGCATTTGCGGACGGTTCCTCAAATTAATATCATTTTCTTTTGTTTGGAAAAGAGAGACACTGGCAGCGGTTCACTCTACCCATGATTATGGGTTTTGGTCAAATCACTAATTCAAAAATATTTTTACTCCTCAAAATTTAAACTCGCTGCTGTGATGGAGGAATGATGAGGAACCTGTGGTTGATGTCTTCACACGTTATGGCCAATAACACTTAACGCAGGCCCTACTTGCATCACTCACATGCTCTACCGAGTCTATTTACTGGAGTGACTGGAAAAGTCTAGTCGCCGATCGTCTTTGTTGTGCAAATTGGTCATTGGAATTGGATCGACAAGTACTGCCACTGGAATTTGGCAATAATTCAGATGTCTTCTAGTATAAGGCTAGTAGTTGGTTGGCATGTCTGTGGCAATACTGAATACAGCAAATTAAACAATAAATAAGCATATATCTTCCTTTTACTCTTTAGTGAACCTCATTATTAGAAGTAGAACAGACCAGGAATTACTATCCAGCAAGGTGTATGGAGCTTTGTTTGTCTGTTAGTTTGTGTCGACTCAAGCTGGTCTTGTTAAAATGATTACAAGAATGATGGCCTCTTAACTTAAAGTCCTTTTCATGGGCTGATTGCTGATCGACAAGATTTAACGATCCAAGAATTCTCTCTGAAATTACATGGTGTTTTAAATTAATGCACAATCGATCGTAAAAAATTACAGCGATCAGCACGTTGAGGAAAAGATAAATTTATTTGGGGGTTAAAGGATCAGCAAACATACAGTTCATTGCCAATCACCAACCACACTTGTGCAATCTGCTCTACGAATAAGGCGTAAATCAGAGTAAGACATGTGTGTCTTCGTCGATTGAAAGGTAACTGAAGATTCGGTTCAAAATACGAATCAGAAAGACCATATTTGCTCAATACAAGTTTTGGATCCTATAGATGTAATAATTGCTTAAAAAGTAAACTTTCTTTTTTAACAGACCAAAAGGAGAATCCAATGCTTGAATTGACCAAATATGTGATTGCCGAAAATTATTTTTCAACCAACCTTTTAACCGACCAATGAAGTTACACGTACGTTGAAGTGGGAGCAGCCACACAGGATGACATGCTCTAGCAATGACTTAAATATCAACCGGTCGGCAGGGCCAGAAGGTATGGAAGCACTAAAGTTGAGAGTGGTGACAATGCCCATGTCATCTGAACTTTAGTGTATATATGTGTGTCTTCATCAGTCGATTATAGGTTGGTCGAAAAGACGATTGAACAATGCAATACCATATTTGGTCTGTAAAACTAAAAGTTGTGGATCCTTTCTCAAGGAAACCTACACAATACACGCATTGTGGAGTTTGAGGAGAATCCATAGCTTTGAGTTGTATTGACCAAATATTATTACGTTTTTTTAACCGACTTTTCAACAACATTTCAATCAATTGAGGAAAACACATATTGGTCAGGACAGATGCAAGATAGTTGTTACCATTCAAAGAAGCCACCATGGGTTCCTTTTTTACCTCCATTTGTGCCGCGATAATTCATTCTGTGATAGTACATCTCAGATACACCATGATAGCCGCAGTTGTGAATGGCGCCTAACAGTTGCATGGAATGCATGGCCAGCTCACTCGCAAACTGCCACCAAGCTCCTAACATTTATTAAGGTGGAGGAGAAAATGCCACCGTCAATTAGACCATCCCTTTGTCCTGGTATATTGGTGCGAGGTAGTTAGCTGCACGGTGGCTCAGAACGACTCTTAAACATGGTTGGTAAGTGTGGCAGGTCCTCCATCCTGGGGCGAATTGGTGGTACTGCTACTGAAGTACTGAGTAGTGGCCCGAGTGTATGGCTTCACTGTGGTGCTGCAAAATGGAAATCTAGTAACACCCTCTGAACAGCTATGGTATGGTGCCAACAAGTGGGCTGGTGATTGGTGCCAATAGAACCGTACCGAGTGTGTAACAAGTGATATTAAGTTTGACCTGCAGCAGTAAGGCATCATTGATCAAGGAGATGAGCCAAATTGTCCCTAATCCTTTTACCCATTTAATCAAGTTGATGATGAAATATGTTAAATTGGTCCAAAGTGATGAGTGGCTACTTGTATTGTCCGTTCGTCGGAAACAAGTTTACAAATAAGTATTTAAATCAAAATGGTGATAAAATGTAGCGCATCAGGATCGCCAATCAAGAGTTCATGAGCTTGTTGGTGAAGTGCTCGCTTTATTTAAGTCTCTAGCAAGATGAAAGGATCTACTCTATTGTCCTCAATGTAATGATAATAAATAAATAAATAAATATTGTCTGTTAATGAATGAGGAATCAGACTTGTATCGACTGACTCCCTTGGATCAGCTCGTATTTTTAAGCTGAGAGCCCTTATTAAAATCTCTTCTTTTTGTTCGATCGCAGTCAATTGAGAGGCTTAAATAGGCTCCAATTTGTAGGGCTCAAATGTTATAATAATAATATACCTAATTGTCTATTTGAGCTGATGAGCTTTGCGGAAATGACTCATGAGGTTATCCTTCCTGGAGAAGGGTGCATTACAGACAGGACAGGAAACTTTAAACCCGATGTGTATGCGGAGATGTCTGTTGAGACTGCAAGTAACAGAGAAGCTCTTCCCGCAGATGTGGCAGATGATCCGGGAAGAGGGAGACTGGATCTTGGTCCTGCTCAAAGTTCGTACACCTGGAAAGAGTTTGGTACACGGAGTCTGTAGAGCTGCTGCTGTTGGCTGGGAGGCAGTGAGTGCGGGAGGCAGATCACCTGCCCAGGATCGGATCACGTGTCCAGAGGAGGATCACGTGTCTCCAGGATCACGTGTCCAGAGGAGGAGGGGCTCTGATATCGGGGCGAGGAGAGGTGCTAATATTAGGATCGGGTGCTTCGAATCATTGCTGAGAGAGGCACAGCATGTGACGGTGAGGGAGCTGGGAATCAAGTGTTAACTTTGTGTGGTTAACTTTTGTGCGGGTGCTTTGTGGGGAAACTACTGCTTCTGCTGAATGGTATTGGAATTAACTAATTAATTAATTAATTAATATTGTGCGGAAAATTATGATTGAAATTACGTTTTCGTATAATTTTAGGAAAATTTTAGATAAAGAATACTCGTAAAATTAGCGGTTCAAGAGTTTTATTGTCGAATCGTAAAATATAAAATTAAGAATACATCAAAGAAGATAACTTTTCATCCCTCGTACAAGATTTCAAGACTCTGTACCTGTAACAGGTACTCTGTACCTGTAACCGGTACGCTTTCCAATTATATTTATATTGATACAAAAAATACATGCCAGTCCAGAACAATCCACGGGACATGATACGACACATGCCCAACCCTTCGACAGTGGTTCACCATCACGTTATCAGATAACGTCCTACACTCATTAGTTTTTCAACCTTCTTTAATTAATAGAAATATATTTATAGGCTAACGAACGAAAACAACCCAGGCCATATTAAAAACCATGCAAATTTACAAAATCATATCGGCAATCCGGTCATTGTTTTTAAGATTTTATATTCCAGTGGTATCAAAAATTAAAAATAAAGAAAAGGGGTCGATTAAAAAGATTAAAACCATAGCAAATAAGACTCAGCGAACTAGTTATTAAGATAATATCGAGATTACACAGCCTTGCAAGGTTCCTTCCGACATCACACTATTCTCTAATACAGGTGATTGTGAGGGTGGTCAGTGTAAAGCAGTGAATTTATAAATGATTGTCCTTTTAGTTTTTTTATTTTAAAAAACATTTTTTATTTTAACAAAACATTATAAACCCTTATCAGAATCACTTGTTAGACATTTCAGATAGATGTTTATGATTTCTCCATTTGAGTTTATAAATAAATGTTAGATTGATGTTTAAATGAATATTAGATTGGTGTTTATAAATGCTAGGCAGATGTTTATAAATGTTAGATTGGTGTTTTTAATGTTTATAAATGTGAGTGATGCAAGCTAAATAAGGACACATGAGATTGAGACACACATTATTTGTTCCTTTGCCAAGCGTGAGTGAAACGAACGAAAATTGGACACACAAAACGCGTCGAACACAGGAAATTTATCTTAAGGGGCCGTTAACCTATTACATTAAGGGGTATGGGGACGTTTGAAAATAGTTGCACTGATTTTGGAAGGGGTCTCAAAATGGCTGAAAACTGATCACATCTGTGAACGGCCCCTTAAGTCTAACTCTTAAGTTGGCAACCTCACGCCCAGCTCCCTCGAGCATCTATTCAAATGTGTTTTCATCTTGTCAGTCCTAGTGGTGGTGTACTTGGCACACAGCGGGCATCTCAGGGTCTTGGTGGGGTCATGTGTAGCCACGTGACGATACCACGTCCTTTTCAGGAAGGTTTTAGGGCAGTGGGGACACCGGTAGTTCATACCGTCCGGCTCTGGCTCCGGTAGCCTGGCAGGAGGATTACCTGCAAGACCCACAAGTCAGAACTCAGGATGTTAGGGGCAAGGGGAAATGTGGGGTACAATTAGGGGGATTAGGGTGAAATGAGGGGTATTTTGGGGGTAAAGGTGAAATGACACGGAACACCAATGTCAATGAAGAAATGAGGGTCTGGAATGATCATATCTAATACTTTTGTGATTTGCGATGAATCATGTTAGTTAAACCTTCTTAAAGCCCAGCGATTAGTCAGAAGTTTATACATCGAGTAAAGAAATGTTTATCTTGCAAAATTGTACTTATACTTAAGTCTGGTTAAAAGTCAGCGAATATTAACCGAACAGCCCGTTCACATACGAATACCAACCACAGTCTTTCAGCAAATCCAAACCTGAGAGTAATATCCCACTCTATAATATCCCACTCTTCAAACTCTCACAACATTTAGTTTTGATGAATGAAATTGAACTATTAAAATCAATTTTCATAGGTCGCATTCAAAATTTCAATACCGTTCATTTACTTTAAGTGGTATTGATTTTTAAGAAACAGAATATCAAGAATAAAAGTTTATCAACAGTTCTAAATCCTTATTCGTTTTAAAAATCCTTAAAACACCTAAATCATAAGGTTTTCGAACAGATATAATTCAAATTCATAAACGAGAATATTTACAAAGTAATTTACAGCAAATCCTAATTATAGTAACCATAAATCTTAAGTCTAGCGCCATACGAAATAGTAAATAAAATTTTAGAATTTTAACTAAAGCTTCTTATCGGCCAGGAAATATAAGGCAACCAGGCAGCCTAGAAATATTAGGTAACTAGGAATGAGGTTTCTGCCTGAAATAACTTCTCCTCGCGACAAGAACGAAACCAATTTAGTTTTAGTTAAGTAATAAAGATTAAAGGCTATTAGATTTTAATGGATTTTAATGGACTTTTCATGGGTCTAGATATGAATATCAAGCCACATGCCGTTCTTGCCACGAAGCTCCCCAAAAATGAAAAAAAACCCTGGCCAATTTTCTAGATCTCGCAAATATATACAGCCATATCAGTCATTGACTGAGTTTGTTAAAACAATATTAAAACCATAAAAATCTTAAAAATTTTCGCAAGTATCGTATTCTTAGTTCATTTACAAGATAAATTGAGTTGAATTAATTGAAATACAGTTTTAACCTAAACTCTAAAGTTCGAATTTAACAATTGTTTCCCGATGTCACAATCTATGTAACGTTGCTAACCTAACAAAAAGGGGGTTGTCTGGGTGACTATTACATATCAGTATCACCATGGTGACTATTACATATCACCAGAGCCGGCCTGAGTGGTGGGGGCAGGACCGGACTCTTTGGAGGCCTCCTTCTCGGCCGCCAGACGGGTGATAGCTAGGAGATAGCTGTCGGGATCCTGGCCCACTGCCAGACTCTCAGCTCCTTGCATCTGGAGTGCTGTCTCCTCTATACTCCTGATATACTTTTTCACACAGTTGGTCATGTGAACCCGGATGATGTCGGCTCTGGTGCTGGTCCGGCCACAGAACGGACACGCGCGGAGGTGGGAGTTGGTGTGCTGGCGGGCGTGACGGACCAGCGCGTATTTGCTGCTGTAGGAACGGGGACATTCCTCGCACTGGAACGCTTTAATGGAGGAGGGACCTGCTCGGCCAGCTGAAAGAGGAGTGGGGTGTTGTTCTCTACCGTCTAGCGAACCAGTCTCTCACAGGACCATGCCCCATGCAACTAGGATCATGCTCACATGCCGTCCAACCTGCGGGCATTTCCACGAGTATTCATGCCCCCTGCTAACGAGAGTTACAGCCCGGACACATGCGATCAGAGAAATGGAGATGAGACCCTGCATCTCCCCAGGGCCGCCAGATAGGACTTCTTTGACAACAAGATTCTTCATTCCCACACACCAGAAGGTTACGAATCTCAGTATAGATGGGGATCCCACTTTAAAGTTAACACACACAAAAGTTCAAAGGCTAAGAAGAAATAGGCAGACACATGCAAAGTCAGAGTAAAAACAAAAATACTTCTTTAAAATTGTTGTAAGATTTTTTTAAAGGTGAATTTTTATCATTTCTTTTATCATTTTGTTTCCCATTTACTAGTTATCTATCATAATTGATTTAGCTAACTTTTTGGTTTTGATAAATTTTCAGGAGACAAATAAAACGCCAAGATCAGATTTTATAGTTTGAAATGACTAATTCATGCAGTATCACGGTACATAATAACTTGGGCTCTTTTAAATTTGTAAATACGTGAAGTTATTTCAATTATGTCGCATTTTAGCCCAAAACCTGCTCAAGAAACACCATTCTGGTACAGTATGTAGATGGGTCACGCAACTGGAAATTTTGGATGGTATACGAATAGTTCACCGGACTGTTACACGGACTGTGGACGTAGTCTTTTCAACCGGATTTGACGCTTTATATCACTACAGTACACTCTTTTATCAATACTTATTATTCCAACTTTAATTGGATGATTTTGTTTGTTAAGTGCGTTTAGAGGACATGTAAAATACCTCTTCATGTACAGCTACCGATGTCTACAGCTATTTATCCAGTACCAAAGTAACAGCCCCTGTTACTTAGCATATATTCTCAAGAAACAGACAGTAACGGACAGTGACGAAGTTCAGAACACAATGCCCATCTCATGGCCATTTCAGGGTCATTTTACAGTCGGCGAACATCTGTATAACTATACTGGTACATCTGTATACTGGTAAGCGGGAAATACAGGTTTTGGAAGCTTAATGCAGACACCTTGTTGTAGTCTATACCGTCGTAAGGTTTGATCACTGAATAACATATCTCCAGGTTATACCTCAGCAGCCCCAAAATAACCAGATCAATATTATGAATATGAAGTACAACCTGAACTTGCATATCGGAACTTTCATCATGGTCATACAATGTAAATGTTCGATGCTTGCAAAATGAACATATTCTAGAACATTCCCTTTACAGATCGGAATATATTGATGAATTATCTGGCTGGGGGTGGTGAGGTATATCAAATCTTTTAAATGTACAGTTGTTAAATTTTGAAACATTTCTCTTTAATAATAATACATAATCTGTACTGGAACGTTTGCTAAACCTGTTCACTGTTCAGTGACCACAAACTTCATGACAAGAACCATTGTCCCAACGAATAAAGAAATAAGCTTTATATCTTGTCATCTTAACTTTCTTCTCTTTCTCTTTCGGGGTTAGATAAGCAAATAAAATCGATTAAAGCATTTCCTTGACCACTCCCTCCCTTAATTAGTAATTTAATGAGTAATTTGACGTAGTTTTACTACGTGAACACAACATCAGGGTCATATTATTACCAACCCTCAAATTTGCCGAATACATGGCAGCCACCCTCAGGGAGTGAGGCAGGGAGTGCTTATCTCGATTACTATTTGTCTTCATATAGCCAAGCATGCAGGTAACAATATATTATCAATAATTATCTTTACTCATAAACCCGTACTAGGCTAATTATTCATAATTTGAGATAATCTTAGTTTATATGGTAGGAACAAAAGCTCAAATACTTTCAATCAAATACGTCTGTATATTAATAAGCACTATCAGGAGTTCGATTGGTAATTATCAAAGTTTATATCATATCAATTAAAAGATGCTTTGTTATATCAATACAGTCAACGTGTTGAAGAAATGGAGGTTTAAAATAGTTTGAAATTGTAGTTTCATGGGCCCTGAGAGAAGGACTCAGGCTATGACAAATCGTCTTAATCTGTTAATCAGAGGCGAATAATGATAAGGATATTATAGGCCCCAATATTATAGGCCCCTATATAGGCCCCAATATAGCCCCTATATAAAGGACCTTATTTTAAGGGGTAAAGTTTTTCGTCAACACGTTGTAGCACGTTAATGTATTGTAGGGGAGTTATTTAAGTTATATTTAAAGTGTATATAAGTTATATTTAAAGTGCACCCCAAAGGTATTACTACTAAAGTTACAATCCAACCATCTCGCCATAATACGTGTTAGTTGCCATAACAACAAGCGATCATCCCACTGTGATGTGTTATCATCAGTCTACTAATAAATTTCGTTTGTCTCTATCTTCAACAAGAGCATTCTCACTTTACTTACACCAAGCATTTATGGTTCGTAATAATAATTCGGTAATATTATATAACAAATATCTAACAAAAAGCTAAAATTTGACTGCGACCATCGCTGACAAACATTCCAGCAACCAACTTCGATCAAAAAGATCACAGTTACGATTCTACAAGAAAGTTTGGCATTCAGTCTCGCGATTTTTATTAAATCAGCCAGAAGTTAGGTAGTTATCCGTGCAATGAGCTTAGCCATGGCTGTTGAGATTGTAGCTCAATGTGCTGGAGAGATCTCTATATTACAGCACCCAGCCCTGACCTAGATCATCTTTTGGGGACACGTTTAACCATGTTTACAGCGACATCGCCCTCAAGTATTAAAAGATTAAACACAGGCACAGAAAGATCACATAAACTTTTAAACATAAGAAATCTAAGATTCCAAACCGGACTACACGTTGCATAGAAACCAACATTATCAATACTATCGAGAAACCAATTCAACCCAGGAAACTGATCAAAAAATTCCTCGGCAATAACTTACAAAGTTATCAAGCACCGGCAGATGCGTTTAAATACACACACTGTTTACAAATTAGAAAATATGGTTTTGAAAAAGTCCGTACTCGCTAACAAGCGCAACTACATCACAAAAAAAGAGAGTAAGAGACAAAAGACAATTTTCAAATAAGTATATCTAAAACCAGCTCCTCTTGGAAGAGCATATTATAAATACGTGACAACCACGTGGCAAACACGTGACAGAGATACGTCCCAAAATCCATGGCCACAAACGAGCCTTCACATTCTACCATGTCTAATAAAAAACTTGCCACGACAGGGGACAAAATACGCTTGATTAAACTGAAAACACACTCGCTAGGGGGCGTTCTGTTTGGAATCACCCTGCGATGTATATGATATATCACCCTGTAGCGATGTATTTTATAACCCTTCAACCTTTTGATCACAGATCAAATATAAATAAACATGCTAAAATGAGTTCTCATGGCAAATTATATGATAATATAATTGCTGCCGATAAAGGCCTCGCGTTTAAAGTTTTAAAGAACTAACCTCGATTTAACCAAGAATTATTAAACTAAATCATCTTCCCGTGGGGCAAAAGATCAGAACTACTAAAAAGTTAAACTTAAAAAGTTAACCGCAGAACAGCTCTCTGCTTTACAGAATTTAAATACGGAGTTAAGAAATATAATTTACAGTTGCGTGCTGCTTCACATTTTAACCCATAAGAAACGATCGTCCACCAGATTATTTAATTGTACAAGTAATACAATCCACGATGTCCCAAAATACTCTACGATACCCAAAGTAAGGATCTATATAATGTTAAGCAGCAGGCGACCTTATAATGTGTCTCTAACATGACCGACTAGGTTACCATGGTAACCAAATAGGTCATATATCGAGAATCAAATAAAAACAGATAACAGACGCAGACACAGTGCTTTAAAACAGACAAACAGAAATAATAATATAATCATTCAGAACGACTACGACAAGAAAGATTTGGTACTTTTAGAATTAAAACAATAATACACACAATCACTTATCAGTAAATAGCATAAGACCTTTGTTAGTTGTTGGTTTGTACTCCAATTTAAGAATATATACGTATTATTATGTAACAAATGGGTAATGATGCTCCCTCCAGAACAAACTGCAAATCTTCCGATCTGGAATAAGACGGAAATCCTTTAAGTTTGATTGGATCTTGCAGCTTGCAATGGAGCAAGAGCACTATTATAATGCTAGCAACTAAATAAAATGAGCTCTAGTTACAAAATGTTTGATGGGTCAACTCATAAACCCCGCCCTTCGCTTTATTTAAGGGGCCCTCAAATACTGAATAAATTAAACTGTTCAACATAACTAATATAAATAAAAACATTATATCTATTCAGCAATTCAGTTTCTCGTTAGCTTATATATACACACACAAGACTTGTTCTATATATTTCCTTGTTTGTTAGGTAATATTGCTTTCAACCAATACTAGTTTCAACTTTCACTTTCATATCATATCATTAATTCTCGAACGTAACAAAGCAGCTAGAAAAGCACCTTGTTGCACACTTCCTGTTTAATAGTCAGGAGTATTACAACCTACAAAAAACAGTTTGATGAAGAGATTAGAGATTTAAAGATCTTAAGAATGAATATTAGATGTTAAGATCCGCAACATAAAAGCACTCCTTAACCGTCTGTTTTAATTAATAATACATATCCACGCCCACGTTTTCACGACAGAGTCCGCCGTTGCGTGTCACGTGACAAAAGTAACGCGCGCGCACGACCACGTGTCACCATGGTTACATCTCACTGTCACGTGAACACATGATCTTTAGTTTGTTCTAAGTACTTTCAGTCAGGGTACACGCGTTCTCTCCCGTAAACTCGGGCATGTTCTCCAATCGGAGACGTTTCTTGTAACAGTTCCTTATGTGAGACTTGAGGTTGTCAACCCGGTAAGAAGTCTTGCCGCAAAGAGGACACGCCTTCATGTTGGTACCAGTGTGGGAGTGCTTGTGGCGATGTAGG